ATCTTAATGTAAATCCTTTTTTCTTTATAAAACCCGCAACTCTCTTAAATATACTTACCAGACCAGTTTTAAAATAGTTTTACAAGCAGTTTTAATACCACCTGAAAAAAAATCTCACTCCTTGATCCTGTAGAAGCAAATAAATCTGTGACGGTGGGTCGTAAATGTTTATAGTCTTTACGTAGATTTGTCCGATTATGTCACACTGGTACTAATAATTTTGAAGTGCAACCAATACAAAAGATTGCTGAGTAAATGTTATTAGTGTTGAATATAAATTTTTTTAAATGTCTAAATTCTATATAAAAAAGAATGTTTGTTGTAATATCAACTTTTGGACGGATTATGATTTCTTACACATTACACATTAAATGAACACTTTTGCCAATGAACTGCTTTATATGTGAGATATAAAGAAACATATATAATGAACTTGTATATAATAAAAAATCTTAAATATGGATTTACAGCCCTAATTAATTTAACCTTATCAACTATTATTTCCCTGATACATCCAACAGTGGCTGGGTACAGTTAGATTGACATTTCATGTACTGTATCTTGCTCATGGGTAATGTATACTTTTAAGTAAGTTTGAATTTGTTAGAAATTATACTTGTTAGAATAATATTAAAAATAGTATTATTCTCTATATATATTTGCAGACAAATATAAAGAATTTTAGTAAAAATCCCAATTTATTCTATTTATTTGTTTCCAGTTTTGTGTGAACACTAAATAATTGCTGAACTACATTATATTTATTGAAAAAAATTCTCCATGATATTTTTTTTTTAATTGCGTATATGAATCAAAACTTGTAATAGAATTAATCAACATATAAGATCTGTACGGTTTACGAAACATCAATACGAAACTCCGAAGAATTAAAAAGCCAACATTACATGCAAAGCTTTCAAAATCGTCAGAATAACTGCGACAATGTCACCTGGGATCAGCGTGTTGTACTCTGTAAGCCTGGAGAGCATAAATCTGTTATGACTTTCCTGGTTGTAAATATTTATAGTTGTGGTGAGGATAACACAGACTTTGGCACGTTGAAACTATATACAGCATTGACAAACTTCTGACTTTAATTGGTCGTTGGGTAAATATTGATACTAATAAACTGCCTAATGTTTACTATAGAAAAATGTGTTAAAATGATGCATTGTTGCAAATTACTTCAGCTCCTCTTGTTAAATGAGCTGCAAACACTTCAGCGAAAAACTTCAATGATTAAATATGTTTAATTCATATTTAGAACGATTTGGTGTAGGCGCTAAAAGCTAAGTTATGACGTTAACAGTTAATGGCCCATGAGGCAAAGCCTTTCAGAAATATTTAGAAGTAATTTTGCTCAAAATTCCCCTTATAATTTTAACTCTCTCCAAACTTTTTTTTAGTATAGGTTTTCTTTAGAAACCATTTAAGACATTCCCACTTGCAATACTAATTTAAAAAAAATCTTTGTTATTATGATTTGCTTGTTCTCCTATGTAGCCTCCATTGTTTTAACCCATATTTTTCTCGATCTAAGTCACAAATACAAGTTTATAATTTAATTATGTTAAGTAAATTAGTTTATCTGTTGGGTTAAGTTCGTAAGTGGATATACTCTAGGACAATTAAATTATACATTTTATGTTTTTGTATTGTTCATTAACTAATCATTGTGGTTTTGTGGAATAACGTTTACTGTAATAAAATTCGTTTCTAGTTCATACCCAAAAAAACATATCATTTTGTTACATATATATATGAAATTTTTTATCTGGTATTGGCAATGCCAGCCTGTTTTCAAGCAAATGATAACTATTTCTTATTATTAAATTATTTAGTCGTAAAATTGAATATTTGAAGAGTAAAAGCGGATTGGGCTTTGGTGAAAGAGGCTTATGTTGATAGAAAACACCTGTATAACTATGTTACATGTTCGGTTGTTCTTGTCTGGTAGGTAATCGCATTTAGTTATTTTATTATTAGATTTAATATAACATACTGAGGTAATTTAATACAAAGTTTTATGGTAGAAGGGACCAATATATAATATTTATTTTATTTTTTGATACTCTAAAAATTTTGTATTCAATTACATTAATATATTTAATTCACACTATTCTGATGTTTATTTGGTATTAAAAACGTGTTATAACACGTTGACGAGTTGTTAATGGTAACCAATCCGTCAAATAAAGATTTTCTTCCAAAATTACCATACACATGAATGAAATTAATATTAACTAACTATATACCCCAAACGTAGCTTTCAGAAAGAAAAAAAAATAATTTCAACGTAAAGCAGTACGAAATATTCTTTGTTAGTTATTTCTTGTGATTAAAATTGTTGACTACTTTACAGTGATTGACGTAGTCTTGATTCCGTTTACTATTTTAATGATTTTGACGAATTCAATATATGGATTCATTTATTTATATATACATACATATCAAACAAATTTGTAAATTATCCTTAACTTAAACTATTTTCAATAAAAAACATTACCATACAACAACATTAAATTAAAAGATGATTGAATAACAGATATAATTAATAAAGCTATAATGTATAAGCTGTAATGTACTTGTACTATGTTTTAAATTATAAGAAATCCCTATGATTTCAAGATATATTTTTGCCAAACAGATATAACAATAATTTAAAAATGTTAAGAAAATAAATTTTAAAAGCTAAGTCCCATGAAAATATGCCAACCCATGTTCTGATGCTAAAACAGGGTACAATGTATACAGACTAAATAAATTTTTGCAAACTGTTTTATCAATAAGACTTTAAACTAAGAGTTCTTCAAAATTGCTGGTAGAGTGATATTAGAATGAGTTCACATCAATTCTTACTTACTACGGAAGAGGAAAATAAACCACTCTGCAACGTCGTAAAGCTATATTGATCAGCACAAACCTTTTTCTGTTTTCATACCTTCAAAATAAATTTCAGTATCTGAGCCAACATTTGACTTGCAACATCCATGTTGAGCCACAAACAACGCAAGAGATGCAAATTTAATATTTAAATGTTGTAAAGAGGATTAGGCTCTGGCAGAAGAGGATTACAGGAATGGAAATACCAACATGTCATTTTGTTATGTATGTCGCTGTCACGTGTCGTGCTATCACGTATTGATAATTTACCTTTCAATTTCACTTTTTTCAGTTCTGGGGTAAAATAAATACACAAACTTCGTATTTGAAGAATGAACTACACATTTCAAATAAATGATACGGGTTTTCTCGGCAGTATTAATAAAATAGTTGAATATATTGAAAAATGTTTATATCATAATATTATTTTTGAAGTTTGCTAAGTTAATATTACTTTGAAGACAAGAATCATCGATTTAATCATGTAAACAATATTTCACTATTTTGTTTTTACTGAGACAGTTCCAATACTTATTTTTGTGTATTCTTTTCTACACAAATGAAATTAACCATAGTTTTATAAAAAAATAACTTTTTACAGCTGCCCTCTGTTAGCCATAGTAACGACACTTCAATTACTTATTCATTACTGCATGGTTCTTTTGCATCGTAATAATTACTGAGTAAAAAATGTAAGTAATTGAATGTAACAACAACAGACATGATACAAGAATCACAATTTAGAAGGGGCCATCTCAAATAACTGTCTTTGGCAGAAAGACTAAAACTTTGCCAATTCAAGATGGAAGCTTCAGCTCTTTGTAAGGTAAACTTTAGTGAATCGATGAAATCAACCTTAAAGAAAATAGTATAATACTACTCTGTTAAACAAATCAATGTTCAATTTGCATTTTTGTTGTTTTTATAAATACAAACTTGAAATATCTGATCAATGCAAATCAAAATTAACAAGCATTTAATTAAAATGTAACCATTTATAGCGTAGAAGGGAACCAGTTTTGTAGGTTCAAGGTGTTCCTTTATTTTACTGTAATATTCACAAATTTGCAAATCTACTTTTGGAATTTTCCACTTCCTCACCTAACTATTGAGTAATAAACTAACTAACTATTAAACTAATATATTAATTTTAACTATTGAGTAATTCTTGTAATTTGAATTCATTTATGTTCAATTTATTCAATTTGTTTAGTTTATTATAGAAAAAGATTCTTTTTTACCAAAAACTAAAAATTATTAAATTACTCTTCGAAGTTTTGATCCTACCCCCGGAGCTCAATTAAAAAAGCAGTTAAGTCTTGTGTGGGTTAGGGAAAAATGTAAAACAAAAAATTTTCTGTACCGCGACTAAGCTATTGTAAATTAACAACAGCTAATTTTGATATACTTACGAGTCAATTTCACATGACTAGTATTTCCATTACTCAGAAACCAAAATAGCTTCAAACAAATTCAAACACTATAACTGTTTGTTGTCTTATATTGGTATTTTAGCCGGTCCGGAATTGCAACACAATTTTTTACTCCATGCATCATGATTGAGTTCATTACCTAGGCCTTTGTATTTTCTTAATTGATTATCTATAGCTGGTGGAATCCATTTTGGATTTTTAAAATGCCATTTTTGGCCTATTACATGAGATAAAAGACAATTATATAATAATAATAATAAAAAAATAACAAACCCCATTGATACACCCAACGTTTTATTTGATCTACATATTTATTTTAAATATTATATACTCATAGGTGAATTGAATATAAATAAAAATGTAAACCCCTCACACGTTTTTTCTGTACCAAAGGCAATAAAACCGTCCCAACATTTAATACACCTCCAAAGAGCACTCTGACCACCGTATCGGTTGAATAAAGCACGTTTTACAGCTTGTATTTGCTTCGGAATTTGTTAGGGTAGGTAATAGAAAAGGGAATAAAAGGGAAATAGGTATTTGCAAAACAAGAGGAGCTTTATGTAGTGCAATAAATAGAGCACATTAGGGGTAGTGCGGCGACGCCGGTTGGGTGGCGGGTGAGTGTGGGGAGTAGGGTGGATGAACGGTTGACAGGGTAGGCTCTCAGTAGTGGCGGTCAGCCGAGCCGGGAGTGTCGTGCGTATAGTGTCCAAGGAATCGCAGGCGAGCATATCGTCAGTTACTAAGTTATTCAAGATGTATATACATTAGATATTAAAATTTATAAAACACGTGTTTATATTTCCAAGTCATAGTGTACTCAGTTTTGTCAGTGAAGGTGATGTGAGGGTAAATCTCCGCGGGGGTTGCCGGGTTTAATGCCAAGGGAGGACCCGTGCGATGGAAGGGGGATAATGCTTCGGCTTTGCAGTTTTTGGGCGCTTCACACTCTTCTGTCTGTTTGCTCGGCGGATAATTTGGGTAAGTGTTATCGAGCGACTAAACCGAGCTTAAAGTTTTATTTATGTTTAGTCAAACTTGTATTGGAGTTTGAAGCCCTAATTACTGCATTTAGGACTAATGTGTAATGTCTGAAGGCATCTGTGGGGATATATACATTTTAATATTACCTTTAATGAAATAAATAAATGAGCTATAGTTATTTTATATGGTCCTTATGAGCATATATTGACTATATATTTCGTTTTTAAAATTTTTTTGTAACAATCGTTTAGGTTAATAAAACAAACAAAAGTAAATACGTGTATCAATCAATTTTTTTCAAAGAAGTTTGGCCATATATTAAAATGTTACATAGTGAAATCCTAAAACAAGCAACTTGTGAAATTAAGAGAAGAACCAAACAAAAAGTAACTTATTCCTTGTTCGTTTTTCATAACCCAGTCAAAGAATAAAATACGTCCGACCAAGAGGTTTTTATATAAATTATAATTTCAAACAAATATGTTATATTGGTACTTGATGTTTTTACATGTCGAATTGTGGGTTTTTCAATGTAATATTTACTTTAAAATTACATAATATTAATCAATAAATGTTACTTGGAGTATTAACTTAGATTTTAGAGTGTAAATATTGAAGTAAAAACATTTTTCCTAATAGGCCTACAACATTACAAATTTGAAATGATAGATGTGTGAGTAATATTTGTCACAGAAGTTTTTGTACCATTGTTATTAGGTAAATATTTAGTTTCTAATGATATATAATTACTATAGGTTTCCATGACCACCTACCGAAGTTATAAAGTGTGAAATTTCTTGAACTAATATATTCTATGAAATGTTATATAATATCCTTGAAAGTATATTATATCTTGTAGGACTTATACTCTTACGTGTATGGTGGAACATTTGAAACAGATAAAGCTTCAATGTAATTGAAACAAAAATATATTATACATGTCAAATGCACTGTATTAATAGAGTCCAACAGAATTAAACATTTTTAATTAGCTAATATAGATACATTTACAACTAAGTATAGAGATCCCTAAATGATATGCGGCTCGGAGATGGCCCTTTAAGAATCCTAAAAGTTTATGTAAGCAATGTTACGAAACGCTTCTTTGGTATTTACGTAAAGAAAGGCTACATTTTCCATTATAGTTTTAGATGGATAAACCTTAGGCGAAATAAAATGTTTATAACAACATGATGTTATATGATGACAACTTCATCCTAAACATACTACATAGATAAACTCAACCATCCCGCTACATTTTTAAATCAATTATATCAAATAAAACCTGTAAACACATCTTTGTACATCATAGCCATTTTAAACAGTATGATCATTTCATCGTAATAAAAAAAAAAAAAAAATACTAATACATATTGTAAAATAAAATAATCCAAACAAAACCCGAGATTGTAAAAGCCATTTTCATCCCACAGTACAATTTATTCCGGGGGTATTGAGACCTAACACGGCTGAAGGACCTCTTGTACCGACTCAAGAGCCTGTCAAGGCATTGCATTTTCTCCTCCGTCTTCACAATCAGGTGGAGTTAACAGCCTTCCTACCCGTCAACTGTTCTCCTCCATTGTACTTGTTGTAGATAAAAATAATTTCAGTACTTGTAGGTTTTATTTTAGGTTAGGCCAATTAAATATTTTAAAATATGATTTATTTAGTGGAATTTTAGTAATTGAAAGCGCAGAACACGTTTAGAACAGTACTAAAATGTATTTATGATATCATAATATATTCTAATACTCTCTCCTACCAATACATTTTGATAACATTGCTTAGCAAAATGTTACTAAGATTATTTTAGCAATAGTTTTCAGATTGATTCTAGTATAAGTTCTTTCAAACTAAGTTCAGTGCAATCAGCATTGTACAATCAATCATTGTACGTACAATTCTCAGTGTAAGACACAAATTACTCTAAATTAGTAGTTTAACTAATATTTAACAACTACTACCTATTGGCAAGTAATCATTATGTATTATGCATGTCTATTTTATGCATACTTCTACAACACTTTGAAACGAACCCATTAAAATATGAAGTTATAATTTCAGGATAGTGTTTGTTTTAATATGTTAAACATAATATTTTAGGCTCAGGGTTGAAGTAGATAACTAGATTGAACATGATGAAGTGGCTCTGCAAGCTGTCAAGAGTGGACGTATGTTATACCCTTGATATTCCAATGACAAGGACGCAAAAAATATATAAACCACCTTAATTAATGCTGAGCTTAACCCGTTTTTTCGTTATACTTGCATTGCTATTGTGCAAAAAACTCCCTAAAATATATCATATTGTTAAATGAGATAAATAATAGCTTAAGGTTGTACAAATCAAGTATGCGGCTTTCTTTAATGTATTCTTTACTTGAGCTAGTCAAATGCTGGGTTCGAAAGGATTGATGGTTTTGAACTGTTTCGATATACTGTATATATAAATAAAAAAAAAACAAAGCTTGTGTGTGGTTTAATTACTTTATTACTTTTCATTACAATGGCAACCATACTAAGTAGGTATTTTAAGCCAAGATTGAATTTAGATGAGTGGCGCGATCTTGTAGTCTTTTTAGTGACTATGGTCGACATATTCCTTAGACGCATCTGGTATTTAATAGTCCATAAAGCTAACGGCAACTAAGACCCCCGCAGTTTATAGTGGAATCCGAACTGCATTTTTGCACATTGCATTTATGATGCAAAAAAGAATCATAGAATTCCTTAACGTTTTATTTATTTAACTTAATTCTGTTAAAAAGGGGGAACAGGTCTTTTCTAATAACCATAATCAGCATGCATTCTATATAAGTTAAACGTTATGCATTTAAATACTGTGCAATCATTTAATACCGGATACGTATACTTTGGAGCACACTTTAATCAGTTTTACTACCAAAATAATATAATGTTTTTTTTTTTACTCATTGCTGTTTTTTTTTTTAAGTAAAGAAAATGACATTGCCATGCTTAAAAATATAAATTAATTAACTATTCCTTGCACCACCAATCTTGGATTTTAAAAAAGATAGGTCCCTAATAAACAACTCTCTCTTCTATGTAAAAAATAAGAAACCTTCAAAATAAGAAAAACCTATAAAATAATATAGCCTTAGCTCTCTAATTATGCATATTATTTCTTATCTACAATACACGTTTAAATCTGTAAACATGTAGCAGAATCCTATTGCGACAGATTCATAGAGACTGGAGCTACATCACAAATTGTGTTTCAAAGCATAACGTAAGGACATTGACATCATTGCAGTATCTGTGTCTTCAGACATTGCAACAACAACAATTAATTCTAGACTGTAGTAAGTCAGCTCCAATCGTATTTATTGTCACCTTTGACAAAAGCTGTATCAAAGGCATGTCATACTTGAAATCACTAACAATCCATTAGAGAGTCAGTTTGAAGAAATAAGGAGTATTTATAGATTCAACATTGATGTAATCTAGTAACTGTCATATTTTCATATCTTTCACATTAAATATTTGGAAAAAGATGTAAGGTTTATATTTTAATAGTTACTTATAAGCATTATTTATCAACTAAAAAGTATATTTTTACAAAAGTAAACACAAACTTAATAAAAACTACTTGAACGATTTTAAAAGGAAAATAAAACACATTCTTGGTGTATACAGGTAATAAATTGTTTTATTTTAATATAACTCAAAGAAATGTTATAGAAAACGACGAAATCCAGTTTGAAAGACGTGGTAAAAGGGGAACTGATGCGAAACATATTTGATATAACGGCCAAAGAATCTGTTGCAGTTTGCTTTCTATTGCTCAAACATGTCTTTCTGATCGGCTTTTCATCCGGCATTTCCAATATGTGACCGGACTCGATTCATTGGAAGTCAAGCTTCCTTATGATAGAGGATTTGATAGTTTTGTTCATTCTGATAAAAAATGTTTCTATATTATTATTGGAACTAATCTATTAGTCGAAAATATATTCCAAGCACATAACGATATCTTTCTAAAACTTAAAAAAGATGTTTCTTAAAATATTTTAATACTTTTAATACAATAAGTATATTGAAATATATAATTGTGTGTCTCAAAAGTATAAATATTGACATTAAGCCAATGTATTTGGATCAAACACAAGATTTTGCATTATGCTCTAGTACTTGCTGTAACTTAAATTAAAGAGTACATGTTACTTTATAATTATGTTATAAGAATATCTCTGACTGAGTCTAGACACAACTTCCGCATTCTCAACACGGATCCGCTTGTCGAGTTCGATGTTTTTATCGGCCGTGCGCACTATGTGTTTATTCGTCTTGTGTTTGTGTGAATGTTAAAACTGTTACTGACGACCTTCATATGAAGTAATATCATCCTTGTACACACCTGATGATGACCTCCTAGCAGGTTGAAACTAGTTGTGAAGACAACAATTGGATTGCAAGAATAAGGTACTTAAACCACTATCATAGTTATTATTCGCAATCCGGAGGCTACTCACACCACAATGAACTTACCAATTTAGTTTATGATAAGTTTACCAACATTCAATAAACTAAAGTTTATTGCTACAATATGGCACAAATAATGAATGCTATTGTTAGGCTCTTGAATAAAACACTATCTCTTTTATTTTTAACTAAACATTGTTACCCTTGCATTTTTACTCAACATATTCTTCATGGTTTCATTATAACTTTATTGATTTAGTATTGAAATTAAAATATTTATTTTTAAATTTTTTATCCATTACAATATTACCTGTTAATTATTTCAAAGTAAGGTCACAATATAAAAAGTCTACCAAAGACATTTTAATAATTTGTAATAAATCATATTTCTGATTCTTGGCACGAGTAGACGCCGAAATGTATGCCAAAAGGATAATCGCGGCCATTCATTTAGTAAGAAATACAGGATTTACCCGTTGCAGTCCTATAACTAATAGATCTCATTTCTTCTCAAAATAATACCATTGGCCAAAAACTTGATGTTTGAGACC